AAAAAAAAAAAAAAAAAAAAAGTTCAACTAAAGTCAGCATGCTATTGAACAAAAGAAGTTTTTCTTTGTTTTTTTTCCTTGTAAGCAGTGTTTTTCAACTCGGAGACGTGCCCGAGTCGATTACCGGGTCGGGTTTAAAAACTATGGTTGTAAGCATTATCCATACTAATTTAAAGGCTTAATTGCAAAAAAAATCATGACGTTTTCGTAATTTGCAATTTTATACACCACCTTTTAAATTGGCAAATTAATATATCACTTTAAACAATTTTTTGCAATTGTATCCATATGGACTAAAAACCGGGCTTTTTCTTGTTGAAGTGATGTATTAATTTACCCGATTTTTGGCCCGTATAGATACAATTGCAAATTTTGTTTAAAGTGATGTATTAATTTGCCAATTTAAAAAGTAGTGTATAAAATTACAAATTACGAAAAGGTCATGATTTTTTTTGCAATTAAGCCCTAATTTAAACTATCCATACTAATTTAACTATTCATGCACATTTATGCTATTTACTCATTTACTCTGCTCCTCTAACTCTGTTCTTCACTAAACTTCTTCAGTTCTTATCCTCCATCATTACTTACTCCAAACACTCTTAAAACTTCTGCATAAAAATGGGAAAAGTTTTCGGCATTTTCGCGTGTCTACTGATCGTGGCGATGGACGTAATGGCCGGGATTCTCGGGATAAAAGCCGAGGCAGCCCAAAACCAGGTGATTTTTCATTTTCAACACTTGCATATCTATAAATAATTTTTCAACAAAAAAATTTATCTTTTTATTTTTTCTGCATCTTTTTCAAATTTTGTGTCATTAGCAAAAGCATTTGAGGCTATGGATATTCGAGTGTAAAGAACCGAGCCACGACGCTTTTCTATTAGCCATAGCTGCTGCAGCACTTCTTGGATTAGCTCATATTCTCGCCAATATGCTCGGAGGATGCAATGCTTGCGTTCAATCGGACCTCGGAAAAGCTTCTCCGAGCAAACAACTATCGATAGTCTGTCTTGTTTTAACTTGGTAAGATCTAAGATCACATTTTTTTTCATGTTCTTAGCTATTTTAGTTAAGGCTTCGAGCTGATCTCGAGCTTTAACGAGTCAAACTATAGAAAATTAAGTAAAAATTATCTTTCAAGCCTAAATGAGACTTATCGAGCCGAGCTGACCAAACGAGTTTTAAATGAGCTCGAGCTTGGCTCGTTAAGGCCTCGAGCTCGAGCCGAACCAGACTCGTTTAATTTAATAGCACTAAACTCAAAGCATATATATTTATTATGTTTTCAGGATTGTCATGGCCGGTGGATTAGCGATGCTGGGTATCGGCATATTATCGAACCGAAAATCTCGAGCCTCGTGTGGCTTTACACACCATCATTTCTTGTCAATAGGTGGAATAACGTGCATGGTTCATTCTCTATTCGCCGTTGCTTATTATGTTACTGCTACAGCTACAAGTTCTTAATATCTCCCAATTTAAAAGAGATGGGGAAAGAAAAAGATTTGGTTTTGTTGTTCTTCTTATTAGGTCACCCGAGTTTACGAATGTCGATCAATCGGGCCCGTCTGGCCGTTCGTTTTTCGTACTTTATCGGCTAATTCTTTGTTTTTTGAGTCTTTCTTCTTTTGACTGATGGGTTTTGATTTGGAGGTTCAAATTTATGAACTTTTTAGCCTTTTTTTTATTTTTTATTTTTTAATTTTTTGCTAGCTAGAGTCCATTGGCACAACAATATGATCTTTTGAGTATTAAGTAGTAACTGTACTTAGTTGAAATTATGAATAATCAAGCATGTGTATAATATAAACTATAGATAAGGAAACTCTGAACTTTATTTACAAAATAAATTGCATGCTACAATCTCAGTTAATTGCATGCTAGAATTTTAGTTGGTATAGAAAAAAAAGAAACTTGCTTGAAAAATAGTCCAATATATCATCGAAAATTCCACCCACACTCGTATCCGTTTGCTCGTCCCACGCGAATGGCTCGATAGGTTTAGTTGCTTCTAGAAGTTCTTCGATCTGAATCTTCGGTTTCGACCTCTGCAAAGGGCCGAAATCGGTTGCTGCCCGACAGTATTCCTTTTAAAGAAAGCAATGAAAATCGTACAATGAGCATAACTAACACGAAAATTATAACTTCCATTTTACTAATTCTTCCAATTGCCGTTTGTTTGCTCGATATTACCTGATCAGCATGCATTTTTCGCACGAATAGTTTAAATACCCTGAAGTTGATGGGCTCAAGCAGCTCGTCCGACAGGCGAAGATACGTCACAGCAGCCATCTTACGCTTAGGCGGCCCGTTTTTGCCGAGCCCACTGGGCCTCACGTTCAAGAGGATTTGATTGTAGCCCGTTCGGTCGAATCTGGAAAGAGCATTTTCACCCGCAACATCAATTTTTTCGGTCCATGCGCCACTTAAAACCTGCGTAGACAAGGGAAATATGGTTTTAAAAACATATCCCCTGAAGTTTTCCGTATCTACAAATACACCCTCTCGACTTCTCAAAAGTATAATCTTTTACATACTTATATCATCGTAATAATCTTGAAAAATGCTCTACTTAAGTAACCTGTTGAACGAGCTGTTGAGGTCCACATTTAGCCGTGGCCGGTTGTTCAGAGTTTCTCATCTCGAGGCACGTGAAGTTCAACGTGCCGTGATGTCTCGAAATCATCCTAGCAATAGGTCGATACCCGTCTCGATTTTTCACGTTATAATAACCGCAAGTCAACTCACACGCGTGACTTTCGTCCATGTACCACCAGTCAGGGGCGGACGCAGACTTTAATGGCAACGGGGGCACAAATTACGGTCGACAGTAAACGCCATAGGTCATCGGTCAAATCATTATTTAACCAATTATAAAATAAAAATATTAAATCTTGATAGACACTATGTTTCTTATTTAATAGATAGGCTTGGATCTTACATTCTCATTTTAAGAATACTGACACATTTGATCCAATCTCTATATAGTATATACATTTTTGTACAATAATTGTTTTTATATGTATTTTAGGAAGAAAAAGGAAATAAAAAAGAAGTTGAGTATAGCATACGTATAAATTCCACAAGTTAAAAAAATAACATACCATTAAAAGTTAAATAATTATAAACATTTCTTTTTATTTTGTTATGTTGAAATAACTTTTCTTAATAATTAATATGTATTTTTTATGTTAATTAATACATTTATACATAACATATATATATACATACATATTACAAAAAAAAAAATAACAGGGGCCCGTGCCCCTACGGGCCCCTGTGTAAATCCGCCAATGCCACCAGTGAATACCAGCAACCTTTTTTTTTTTTATCATCTTGAAATATAAATTATATATTGCAAATGTACAGTAGTATATGAAAAACTGTCGAACACGAACTTACTTTGGCAGATAACTTGACTTTGCATCCTTGGAATATGTTGTTGGCTTCATCTAGAATTTGATCCGCATGCCCGATTAACCCATTAGAGTACCATGTCAAGAAGAACTTCCCTTTCTCGGTTAGGTAAGTCCCGTTTGGCGCAAAAAATCCCGTTTTACATGGTGTTCCGTTGTATGTTCCTCCATCGTCTGGTAGATCCCACTCCGTTTGCCCTGCCTCAGCCGCAGCTATCTTAAAATCTTGCTTCAAGTACTTGTCATAACACTACCATATCGGCACATTAGATGATTTTTTTTTTTTAATACGATTAGTTATTGTAAATTTTTAAGAATCGAAGCTTTTTGCATTTTTAGGAGTCTCACTTGAAATTCTCCGATTCCGGGGAAAATCCATCCTTGAGTCTCGGGATATGACGGGTATCTGAGCTCCCCTGCCGGACCAAGTCCGACTTCGATATCTATAATAGTCCCGGCTTCTATAAAATCCGACATGTTCTCTTTGAAACTCTTCATGTAGTCCCTATACATCTACATGTTTTGAACAAAAGAGAAAATCTTGAATCTATAATGCTCGGTTTTCGGACGAGAATGTGATGTCTTTTTAGGTTGTGTTTGATAAGTATATAAGCTAGTATAGAACTTATTTGAATAAGTTACAAGCTTAATGTATTAAAAAAAGTTTGGTTTGTTAGGACGAGATTTTTTAAAAAAACTCGAGCGGTAAATTTTCAAATAAGCTTATTGAAATTTTTATTTCAACTAGTTTATCAGCTAATTTTACCGAACACTTTTATCATATAAGCTAACTTTTCAGCTATAAGTTAGCTTATGAGCTTATTATCAACCAACATAGCCTTAGTACCTCAATTGCGGTTCGGCCGTGGAAGAGAGGCAAGTTGTCGACCCCTAGAGACAGATACTCTCGGTTTTGATTTCCCGACATGTTTGTGTAAAAGATGTCCGGATTTTCGGAGCCGATTGTAAGAACCCATTCGGGTATCGGAATGTAGACAGCATCGCCAATGTTGCCACCACATTGGTGAAACGACATTATCGTTTGTATTCTCAGCCCACATTCTTGGACGAGTCGAAACAATTTCCGGTAAGAAGACCATTCGTAGAGTTGTGGGCCTTTGCTCTCGACTATTCCCCACCACACGTCAACCATCACCCCATCGGCTCCCGCGTTTTTTAGCTTGCTGAGCTGGCGCTCGAGCTTTTGCTCGTTTAAGAGCTTGTTTTCTCTAGTGATGACGTCAAGCTGGCGATTTTCACGAAGATGAATGTACAATGAAAATCGGAATTGTGTGAAAATTTTCTAGATTATGCGCGTGACTAAAAGGTTTGTTTACCTGAAGCATCACGAACAACGGTACGTAGTTGGTCGAGGGATCTTTTTGGACATCTATGCTTACATCCTGAGTAAAAACAGAGGAAATTAAGGAATTTGGTTAAAGCATGTATGGATAATCTGAGAATTTTAATCAAATGCTCAAGACATAAAGGACTAAAACCGAACACTATTAGACAGTTACGAAAAATCGAAGCTCACCTCTTTCGGAGCATCTCTTGTGGTGGCTTGATACGCGGTTGCGATCTGGCGGAAGCCATATCCGAGTGGTTTGCCCTTGAGCTCGTGCCCGACTTTCGGCTGCAGTTTTTTCGCACGAGTGTCGAAATCGGGTAGCCATTGTTGATTGAGTGCCACATTCAGTTTCTTTATTGGCAGCCAAACAGGTTTTGAAAGAAAAACAGTGGCCATGTAATGATTTGCGATCAAGCTAATTTGGTTTAATGTTTGTAGTATTAAGTGTTGGTACATTTTCAAGCCTTTTTTTTTTTCTTGGATTTTGCTTTCATTTGCCGGGTGTTTTGGTTCATTCAAGTAGAAGACAAGTATGGATCACAAATGGATGGGTGGGGGTGGCTAAGGAT